AGTAAGATACCAACATGTACGGAAAAGGTGTAAAATCGTGCTGGTAGTGCTAGCTATTTCAGCAGTTTGTCGTCCGCTCAGCTCTAGAGGTCGGCAGCTGTTTGTCGTCACCCGTCCGCCTGTCAGCGCCCTCTGCGCCTCTACATCCCAACCAGTGGTATTTCCATGCCCCTGGAGGGCTCCTCCTCAACGACAGGCATGTCACAGTCCATGTCACTATCCGTGCTGTCAGAGTCAGAGCTAGAGGCAGAGCGCGCTCTGCGTCTGCGCCAGCTGCCGGCTGGGGGCCGGCCACAGGCCCACGTCGTGCTGGTCAGTGGAAAACACTCCACATCGGGGCAGGCAGCGCACTGCTCCGCCCGTGTCAGTGCCTCGCCTGCAAGAGAGAGAGAGAAGTGAGACGTGACCTCTCAGCAGCTGTCTGTATCTCGGCACATTCACATTTCAGAACAGTGACGCTCGCACGGCCTTCCTCCCCACGACGCAGACCAATAACAGTCACCTGAGCTGGCTTCGCTCGTGGTTACGCGGATTTAAGAGTACCTCACTGGTAACATGCGGCAAGCGCAGGTGCATGACAACGCGATAGCTCCTCTGACCTGTCCCAGACGGGAACAAACATGGACGGGGTATTCCAAGGAGGATTTCCGACTGTGTGCCGGGCACTAACTATCTAATGCTGTTTCCCTGAATGAGTCTGAAAGTGAAGCTCACGATGGTACATAGTCCGTGGTGGGAGAAATAGCCTATCTGTTACTTATCGCCAGTCACATGGAAAGGATTGGGCGCCCGAGAGCATGCCTGTGGCGCCCGAAAGCTTTCTAGGGCGCCCGAAAGCTTGTATGGGGTACCCGCGAGCATTTATAAGGCGACCAAAAGCCTGTATAGGGCGCCGAGGAGCATGTATAGGGCGTATAATAGCATGTGTAGACGGTTCCACTCAAACCGTTTAATACAAAATGCTCCGAAGACACAGACGGCCGTGTTGGATACACCAGCTACGCCCTCCGAGGTCTACCGGTGACGATCCGCATATTACCACCATGCATGAGCCTCGGTGACGCAAAAAAAAACTCGGGGAAGCCATCACCTAAGCTGTCAAGATCATGTACATCATGTCACATCAAAACGCAAAGATATCTTAAATGCATTGGTACTTGTGAAACATGCTCTAGCCCCGAAAATGTCACCCAAAATAAATACCCAACTAGTATTGTTCAAGCGTTGTTGACTTGTATTGTCTGTTACTGGATCTCACTCTTCGGCACGTCATAGACGGCATTACGCATTTGCATCAAGGTCAAAAGCTGTGGCATTCTGGCGCACGAGTCATCAGCGGCCGTCGAAAACCGGACCACATCTATGACGCCATACGTGATCTTGACTTGCTCGTTTGTTTGGTTTCGCACGCTTCCATATACTGCTCAGTGCATTCGAGTACATGTCAGCTGTCGCCAAACCTTGGACCACACAGCATGGCGTGAGCACGACACTATGATACCCGACACTATGGACTCGACGCTATGGACGTGCCGGCCATCGCGCAATACCGAAAGTTGGCACAGAGGCCAGCCACGCGCGCCTAAGCTGCGGAAACGTACGCTCAGGGGTGTTCAGCCAGCTGCCATTACACATACACGCAGACGCCTCATAGCTCAGGTGAAACGGCATTTATCGCGAGTTTAGTTTAACCGTCGTTGACCTGGTGCCATGAAAACAATTTCTGAATCTCATTTCGATCACCCACCTGGGGACAACGCACGAGCGGCTGCTCTGCAGAACATCACCACCACCAGAAGCAGTATGGGCCACATGCTGCAGCCGGGCGGGCGTCACATGGAATGGGGATTCTGTAAATGCTGCACCTATGTATGCAGCCCACTCATGTGCTGCTACCCTGGTCAAGCCGTGCATGGTCAGCTATGTGGCATTTCGTTTGCTGCGCAGCCTGGGAAGCTTCCGGTGCTTCTGATCCGAAAGTTAAACAATGCAACAGATTTCGCATTAATGTGAAATCTCTGCTCAGCGCCTGCTCAAAATCACGTGCTCCTGATATGGACTACGCTCGTCAAAGCCAGCCAAGCACTGTATGCCGTGCAAGATGCGTTTTGATACGTTTGAAGATATTGTTGAGCTGGAACATAGTAAATTGTGAAAGGTTTCAACCGGCTTATTCTATTTAACGGCAGCTTTCGGGGTAATCGCTATCCGCTTTTTAGTTTGGTCAAACAATGAAATCAAACATATTCAGGTACACTTCAAGGGAAAAACTGAAACAGACCCAAAAAGTCACATGAAATTTAACATGCCCATCCCTCTGAGACAACGCAAGTACGGTAGGTGCCCAACTTCACGTTTCAGCTGCAGACAAATAATGCAACACATTGACGAAAAAGCACATGCAATGCGCTTACAAGCTGATGCGATTTCAATGTATATTTTCTTTATTCTATCATATCACGTGGAAACTTACTATCACTACGCATGCTTCTTGAGGATGTTTATAATTATTTCACATTTTAGCATCGATGCAGCAGCGACGCATACAGCATATCGCGACACTGAAACCAGATAACGTACCCTTGCGCAAATTGGCCAGGCCCGACGCCTGCTTTCGCTCCCGCACGGGGCGTTGTTCCAAGTACTGCTGTTTTTTCTGTTGTAGCCTGCCATTTTAAAATCTGATATGCACTTGCTATCCGGGCCCCAGTTTTGTATTCAAAAGTGTGTCACCGGCTGCTTTACAAACGAAAATTCCCTCCGTAATATTTTTTTTTTCTGTAGTTAACGCATGCTCTAAAAGTCACCCGTCCTCCCACGCGATGCAATTATCTGTGTCCAGAACGTGCTTTGATAAGCCCGAAATGTTTATATTCGCGCTTCTTATCGCCCTCTGATGTTCAACCCCTCTAGCTTTTAAGCTTCTTTATGTCCCCCACCCCCACATGTTTTCCAATCCATTGGAGGCGCTGACTCGCCTATGCCCACCAAAAGCATAGGTAAGGTGAGGTCTTTCGAGCCCAGCAAACTTAGCGTAATCTGACGGAACATCACCTGTACTGAAGTATTTGCAGTGGTTGCCCATGACACGCTAGGAAGTCTGCTCTTTGTTAGGTTGGGAGGGGTCAGAACGATAGCTCTAACCTCTCATCCCAACGAAAAATCACATTTCCTGACGAAACAAGGGATGGGACGCAGAACGGCCTCCGGTCGGTCATGTTTTCTCTCGTACTTGATCGGCGTGAATAATATTAATGTTAATGTGAAGTTCTGATGACACAGCCCGGTGGTTTTCTGATAACCGTTGATGTCTTCTCTATAGGAGACATCTCATGTGTTCGAGTCTGTCTCCGCGAAGGTGCACACGAGCCGGCGGTCGGAACTAGACTGCATTTCCGTGATCCGCGAGACGCTCTGCCATCTACCGTTCGGACTTAATACTACTACTCGCGCGCTATACTCGGTACTCGCACATCATGTAAACGGGTTTATTCTGGAAAGATGTTCAGAGGTGAAGACGAATAGTTCAGAGAATAGATATAAATGACGTCTCAAAACCTCGGCTCGATCCATGTGTTGTAAGCGTCCCCAATAGCTGCCTCCGCATCCCACTTATTCAAAAAAGGGTTTCCACCGACAGATACGCTTTTGTCTGCTATATACATACACACGCACACACACACACACACACATGTATATATATATATATATATATATATATATATATATATAATGTACATACACTACACTTTTATCTCATACAACTGGAATATAATCCGGAAGCTACCACGATTCTCCCTGAGGTTTCCAGTCCATCACCTTAAAATAATCATGCGTTAAACGGCTGCATTAAATCGTCTGCTGGCGCTCTTCATATCAGGAATCAAGTTACTACTTTACTGCTAGCGGAAACTCATCCCTGATGTTACAATGGTCCAGTGGACTCTTCCTTGCACGACATAGATGGAGAGCCAATTGGCGGTTGTTTTATCTGGGAATCATGCTCACGAACGCGATATGTGAACGCCTTGACTATTGCATGGTTCTTGGCCCTGATCTCCGCAAGGCTTATGGGATGGCAGGATTTGAATGACGGCTCAAGACGTCATGAATGCCATGTTGACTCCGAAATGCTCTCCACCCCCAATATGCCTTTCCCCATATTATATATATATATATATATATATATATATATATATATATATATATATATATATATATATATATATATATATATATATATATATATGATCTGAGCATATCCCCGGGCGTGTAGCTCAGAAACTAGGAGAACTGAGGTCTTACAAAGGGCAAGACTGTGAATAGCACTGAATGGTCTTCAAAATGACTATTTCAGTTCAAACCCCCACATAAATGTGGAACACTCCCTTGAAATATCGGGACAAACCTGATAACCCGCGAAATACGTTCAATCTTTAGTTCAGGTTCAGAGGTTGTTGAAATATAGTTAGGAGATGCTTATGATATAAAATATTTTTTAAAATACATTTATTCTGAATGGCTTGCATGGGTGACTTCGGGCTCAGAGTATCCGCCAAGCATAGCATAAGCCTAGCGTGTACCCTGAACCCATCACCCAAGTCGTGCGGTCCAGTTCAACGGATAGTTTTGCCTCCGCGCTTTTGCCAGACAGGACTGCGGAGGTTTTTACGTGCCGCACAATGCTACGGCACGGCCGCCCCGGGCCTGGGCTGACCCTCGTTGGCCAGTTGCCAGCTGACCTTTCTATGTCAGTCGGGTCAAACAATGCGCCCATTCCGGGACTCGTACCCAGTGCCGCTGGATTAATAGCCCAGCATCTTTCCCCTAGACCACGGAGGCGACAAATGGCTCCTAATTGCGGTGCATCTACTGAGAAGCCATGATAAAGAAAAATAGTTTCATGTAATGTTGAATAATTCTTGAGCCGCTTATCCGGCGACACGTACTGAAAGACGCGCAGCTCGCGCTGTGATTGTCGCACGCTACCCGGCGTTATTTACCCTTACGTCAAAGCGCGGCGCGTACGCCGGCTGGGAGTGAAGGAAGAAGTTGTGTTCTGGGCCTGGCATTTTCGTTAAGACTAATAAGATCGAGATGGCAGACTCGTTTGTTAGCGTGGTCAAGAAACTGTGCACCGAGTACGGGAAAACCACCCCGAAAAAGTTGATGATTATTGATGCTTACCTAGTCCAGATTTTCATCACTGGAGTTCTGCAGTTCGTTTACTGTTGCCTAGTCGGCACGTTTCCCTTCAACTCGTTCCTCAGTGGCTTCATTTCCTGTGTTGGTTCATTTGTCCTGGGAGGTAAGATTCACATGATGTGACCCCTTCAGCATTAAGTTTGGTTCACTTAACATTTTTTATCTAGAAGTAAGGGTGCAATTTTGCTTACTCTGGAGGCTCAGTAGTGAGAAACAATTAAAATTGCCCAGAAATACACAAATGAACAACTTTTTCCATAGGGTAGGGGTACATCTTAAACTGGGAGAGGGCTGGAGCTCTCATCTAAGTAGTAAACTACCTCCATGTGTGGGATGATAGGTGTGTCAGATGATGATGTGATACTTCATGGTGCCAGGGGAACAATGATATATCTCTTGCCATGATTTGAGCACCATTGTTTGGGACCAAATAAATGTAATATGGAGATGTTTTTTCTCCATCTGATCTTGCAGCCATGCCATAACTCATGATATGCAGGACTAATCATGTTTCAAGTTCTTACAAGTCAAGGGATAGTGGTTATCTATGAAAATAGTTTTTCCACCAATGTTGCATTATTTTTCACTTCACACTAAGACTTCACACTGCATGGCAAGAACAAACCTGTCATGTTATAATGTATGTCATATCATGTTCCAGTATGTCTGAGGCTGCAGGTGAACCCCCAAAACAAGAGCGAGTTTAGTGGCATAAGTCCAGAGAGGGGTTTTGCTGACTTCATCTTCGCTCATGTTATTCTCCACCTGGTGGTGATGAACTTCATTGGGTAGACACATTAACTGCACAGGTAAGACGGGTTAGAAAAGTGATGCATGCCGTGGCTACTTAACTTGTTTAGCTTTATTGTCACATATTCAAAGCTTGAGTGCAGTAGGTACATATGGCACAATTTGCCTGCTTTCCAGTCTGCAAAAAAACCTGTTGGCTGTGGTGCTCACTTTTTGTAACATTTAATCCAAACCTTGTAAATGGATGAATTTCTGGGATCAGACCGTATGCTAAGCAGTGCTTGTTACATCCAACATCACTGTCAGGTGGCCGCCTTTACCAAGCAGTATCCTAAAACCAAACCTATCCCACCAGAGTGGATCTAAATACAATATCCCAACTGAGTTATCCTGGTAGGCTTAAGGTCAACACCTGTGCTACATAGGTACTCTGAACCTCAGGCCAGCATGCACCATCTGGCCATGCTAAATTGCTTTTTTGTGGAAAATGTCTATGGATTATTTTTGCCTTGAATTACCTCCTCACAATTCCTAGAAATATTGACTCCATGTGCATGATTTGTTGGTAACTGCTGACTTAACTGTGAGGGCAAAGACTTACAGCATACATGACCCTGAGGCTTTCCAGGAATGTTGCTGCTGCCATGCTGTCATACTCTAGCATGTTTTTTCAGCCTGGCCTGCTGTGAGAACCTGACCGCATGCCATTTTAAACTTAGGTTTCTTATAACAATTTTCACTCACACCATGTTGTGCAAGTGAAAGGATAAGTCTGTCTTTACTGACAGCTCAGTTGGTCAATGTACCTACCTTCCAATTTACTCCAATCCACTTCAGGAATCCAAGTTCAGAAATTGAGATTCAGCTTCCTACAATCTGGCTGGAGATCTTTGATGACACTGCTAGCCACGAAAAACAGTCAAGACCTCCCATTTTCCGGAACAGTCAGACAGTTGACAGATGGTCAAAATCCTACCGTTTTTGCCACGGAGTTCGGCACAATCCATGGGTTCCAACGCCGAATGACCCAGCTAGTGTCGATGAGTCGCGAGTCTTGCCTGAAGCTGACGGCCGGGCAGTGGAGACGTCAAGTGCTCTGCTGTCCTTTTTAGCGATGTTTTCACGCTCCTGTCTCTTTCAGGCGGGCACCAGATCACGCCGACTGCTCGGGACCGCGCGGCCACTCCCGTTGATGCAGTCATTTCAGCACCTGGGCTATTCACTTGTTTCGACACGAAAATGCTGGGGTTGTTTGCCGTCGTGAAACGCTGCCTCTTTTGTGTGCTGCCGGCCGCCATGCGGGTCCGTTACGCCCGCCCCGCTGTACAGGGGACCATCTGAGACGCTCCGCTGTACGGGGGGCCATCTGAGACGCTCCGCTGTGCAGGGGACCATCTGAGACGCTCCGCTGCGCAGGGGACCATCTGAGATGCTCCGCTGTTCAGGGTCCACGCGAAGACGGCGCGCAGACGTTCCGCGAGGACCAGTCGCGAATTGCGTATTACGTGAATACAGGCAAAGTGGGTCAGCCGTGTATCCGTGGTGTTTGGGTTGTGGACCCGGTTGCAACATGGCGTCGTACCAATATGCTGCGGCATGCGTGGGCGAGTGGCCCTTAAACTGCGGCATGTGTGGGCGAGTGGTCCTCAAACTGTCCCGTGGCCCGCAGTCGCGCCGGCTGCACAACACGCGATGTTCGGGTAGTATTGTAAAGCAAACAAACCAGGGCATTAGAACACACCCCACATTCGCACACAGCGGACTTCAGCTGGTGCCGTCTCGGCCACGCTTCGGGGCGCGGGAGGTAGAGCGCGGACGGGTCCGCCCCACCCAGGGACGGTCGGGGCTCCAGCTGCCGGGCGGGCCAAGGGGGCTCATCACCGCTGGACGGGCCGGTGTCGTGACAGGCGCACGCCACATGACGGCGGCGGTGCGTCACAAAGAAGCTCGCGGGGCCGGGCAAGAAGCCGCGTCACACGAGTCGAGGGAAAGAGGTAAACGGAGGAGATCAGAGGGATCAGTATCAGCCAGCGAGACTCGAAAATACAGTCAAAAGGTGGAAGGGGGCGAAATGCCGGACAGGCAACGCCTCCCCGGCAACAAGGGTTATCACGCAACAGTGTTACAAAAATACGCCAGCAATGACTGTCTTCGTCGATGCTGCCGGACTATCCACGCAACGGCTCAAAGCTAAATGCTACGGCACAATACAATGGCAACGCAGAAGGGGCCGACGTGGTCGGGTAAGCATTACCCTGCGTGTCATACCCAGAAAAAACATCGTAAGCTTTTTGGAAGCCCGCCTTGCGCACCCGCCCCACCCGCCAAATGACTTAACTTCCCCACAACGTAACTGCCGAGCGCTTGCGCCGAAAAAGGGAGCTACACCTAACATACCGCCACTAGCCTACCTCCAGCAACGCGGCCCAGTCTGACATCTCCAGCAGCCGGTACAAGCAGAACGAAGAGCACAGCCAAAACAACGGGCCGCACGCGGCAAGGGGCGCGTCTGCGTCAGCGAGACCACCTGGGACCCTCCGTCCCAGCGAGGGACGGACAATCAGGTCGTCGTGCGTCGCCGCAGACCTCACCCAACACACCACGAGAACTGGACGCCTCCACCGTGGGACGGCCCGCATGCCCGCGACAGCGATCGGCTCTCCTCGTACGTGCGAGAGGGCCCACCGCCGAGGAGCCTGTACGCTGCCGCGCCCGCCAAGGCCCCGCGCGCAAGTAAGTACACGACACGCCCGCATGCTGGCCGGCGCAGTACACTAGAGATATCACACTGCAGTAACAGCCGGCCTCCGCACCGTCCGCCGCCGGCTGACCGGGTCGCCAGGCACGGGCCTCGGATCGGGTCGGCCCCCTCCGTTGGACGGATGGGGGAAGGGGGGGGGGGGGACTTCACCGCGCGCCCTCAGCGCTGCTTGAGGCCAGGTAGCGCCGGCGCGCCCGCTCCAACATGGCCTCCTTGCGCTGCTGCAGCAGTGTCTGCCGCTCCGACGGGCTCTTGGAGAAGCGCGAGCCGGACTCGGCCGCCGGCGCCGCCGCGTCCTGGTCGGACTCATCGGACCTGCGACACGGCCCAAGCGCCTGGTGACGGAGCGCTCCACGGGGATATCACCGCGGCAGACACCGCCTCGCTCACACACAGACACACATACCCACACACCACACCCAACGAGTGCGCCTTCGAGGGTTTTGCTGCCATCGAAAACGGAGGCGTTTGGCGAGGCAACGAATATGAGACTTTGGCTGGAGCAACGGATGGAAAGACGAACGTTTCTCCATCCGGAACTGGTGCGTTTGGGTAAAAAATGCGAGAGTTCTTTGACTCCAGCCATTCTCCGTGTTTAGAGGAACGCACCTCCGACATAGCCGCCGTGGTAGCAGAAATTTGTCATCCACACATGCGCGAACAGTCAACCCAGCCGCCGCCAAACACACGGCCAACCGCTCCACACCCACTGGTCTACGCGCATCCCAGAACAACCAACTCTTTTATCGCTGGCCGACACGCCCCCCCCCCCCCCCACACACACTCCAGTCATTGGAGGGCGCACCCCAGAACAACCAGCTGTGCAGCCATTGGCCGGCACGCACCCATGAACACATGGCACCCACTGTGCCGCCGCCGGGCGTAGTTCAGGTCGCTTGCTCCACGCAGCTTCCAGCCTATCCTAGCATACCGTACACTCTGGCATACAGACATGAGTCCACTTCCACGCAAGCGCGGCCACCACCGCCGAGAGGATGCTAGAGGACCGTCGCCGTCGCGCGCACGTCTGCCTAAAGAACTGTGGCCCTCAAAACCACATACCACATACCAAAACCCTGCACCTTGTAGGTGCAGGGTCCCGGGGCGCGGGGCGGGCGGCATGGTCGGGTCGCCACTGACCGGGACTCGTCCGGACTCGTGCGGGGTTCGTCCGTCTGGTTCCAGCGGCGGCCATCGGCCGGCTCCGCGGCGTCGGCGGCCAGCTCGTCGCTGGTGAACATGGGAGGCGCCGGGTGGTCGTGCACGGCGCCGTCCAGAATGTTCTCGACGGTGGCCTCCATCGAGCCGGACTGCTGCAGGTCCTCGGCGATGGCCGGCAGCGACACGTGCGGGAACAGCTGCTGCACCTGTCGTCGGAGGACGCGCACGGCCAGCGGGGCGTGAGAGGTGCTGCCACCGACGGCACGGAGCGGCGGCCCCTAGGAGTTGCCACCACGCGGCTGACCCAGTCCACTGAAGGGAGATGGGTTCACTGTAGTGCTGGGATTTTGGGCCATGGATGCAAAGCGATTTGTGGCTTTATTAATAGTGCAGACACAAGACAACCTAAATAAAAACACGCACGCTGGAATGATCAAATGTTCCTCACGACAGCCCCTGATGTACGGTCGTAAAGGAGAGTTGATGAAACAAAGTCAACGAAGAGTGTACAAAGCCAAAGCCAAGAACGGAAGACAAAGGGGCTGCATATATTTAAAAAGTCAGCAAAGTGCAACTGTTTCTCCTGAAAGAGCTGGATGAAAGAAAAGCTGTTCTGTCGGCATTTAAGTATTAAGGGTGATTAAGTTTACATAGATAAGGCAGTAGTATTAGCTTTCTTCGTCGTAAAAACAGGAGAATAAATGGTGATTTGGCTATCATAGATAAGACAGTAGTATTAGCCTTCTTCCTCGTAAAAAACACGAGAATAGAGGTATAGTTAGGTTAAGTGAACCAAACTATATCTCTATTCTCCCGTTTTTTATCGCGAGGAATAAGGCTAACACTTCTCTCTTACGTACGTGACAAATGTGCATGGCTAATGCACGGAACAATTTACGTAATGATTAAGTTCCAGTAACGCCATTTAGGTTAACATCAGAAACTGCGTGGTGTCGGTCTCGGTAGCAAAGTTGGTTAGCGTGTCTGCCTTCCAACCCACCCACCCGTGGCGGGGTGGCTTCAAGTCGCTTTGGGCGCTAGCCATTTTCCCTGGACAGGAAAGGCCTACGACCGGTGGCAACAGCCGCACTAAAGGTAAGATGAAATCAGAGGGCTAGACAAGCTATGCCGAGCAATGCGGCACACTCAGCTGTCGCCACCAAATCCGTCGTTGGCCTGCATTTGCACAATCGGATGGTGCAGACCAGGGCTCACACAACCACTGCTTAGCAGCATAAGCTCTGATCCCAGAAACCCATCTTGCCGCGCGCTAGCTGACAGAGCGCCCGGCACCATCCACCGGGTACGCCCGAGGCCGGGCACCATCCACCGGGCACGTCCGAGGCGCAGCACCATCTACCAGGCACGTCCAAGGCCCAGCACCATCTCCCGGGCACATCCGAGGCCGGGCGCCATCCGTCGGGCACATCCGAGGCCGAGCACCATCCGTCGGGCACATCCGAGGCCGGGCACCATCCGTCGGGCACATCCGAGGCCGGGCACCATCCGTCGGGCACGTCCCAGGCCCGGCACCATCCATCGGGCACATCCACGGCCTGGCACCATCTACCGGGCACGTCCAGGACTTAGTACCATCTACCGGACACATCAGAGGCGCGGCACCATCCACCGGGCACGTCCGAGGCCCGGTACCACCCACCTGTCGGGCCATGGCGTCCAACTGCGAGGCCGGCACCGCCTCCTGTTGACTGGCGCGCACCAGCTGTGTGTGGTTCACCTCCACCGAGAAGCTGGGCAGGAACGACACGAACCGGGAGCCTGTCACCCGCCGGGTTAGGTCAGGTCAGTGGAACGCCCGGCGTAGCAGCCGGTGGGGCGAGTGCCACGAACAAACGGCTATGTTAGCGTAGCACAAGTGTTTTACAGGACGCGACAGAGAATAAATGCGAGCGCACCGACGGTACGAATACAATACGATGTGCACAATATTAGCCAATGAAATCAAATGATACTTCGCGAATGATACAAAGCGGAAATAGCAAACTCCTGGCAATAAGAAATAAAAATTAGGATACCCCGTAATCATCTAAACGTTCACACGCATCTTCTGGTAAACCTGACACAAACATGCCTGACATGTAAACATGCCTGACACACAAAAGGTCCGAGGTTAGAGGTCACTGTCAGTGATGCGTGACTGCGACGCCGCAGAGTCTGGCCTCTCCCGCTCCGAACACTGACGCCAAAAACACCCGCAGCTGCGTCCGCAGGTCACCACTTCACAACAGCCCCCTCCGAGTCGAGCGCCGCCGTTCAATCTCCCTAGCAATCTCCCGGGGCGCGAGGAGGCGTGACGCACCGCTGTGCTGGCGCCAGGGCGGCCGCTGCCGCTGCTGCGGCCGCCGCCGGCCGGCGTCGCCGTCCGGCCGGCCGCTCAGGTCCAGGCCCTTGCGGCAGGTGGGGCACGACGGGTCCTGCTCCAGCCACTGACGCAGGCAGGTGCTGGCGGCCGGAGAACGGGCGTTAGACGGAAGGGTACGCGGGGGCGGGGGGGGGGGGGGGCACAACGGCTGGCGCGGCAAGGCGACGAATGCGTGCACGGAGCGCGGCGGGCTCGGTCCCTACAGCATACTGAAAAATCCCGTTTGGTTTGAACCACTCC